TGGGTAGATTTCATTATATCTCCTATGATTAATTACAACTAATGTTTTAATGTGATTCTTGAACTTAATATATATAATTTTAATTAATTAAAGATGTTGTGGTTATTCCCTAATTAATTAAAATTATATGAATCAACTAACATTAATTAATTTTTCATTAAGAGCTAAACATTTGCATGCAAATAAAATGAATAAAAGTGCATTTTTTTTTACTCAAAAAGACATGTCATTTTGCATGAGGAGGCTGATTTTTGCCGAATGAAAACGACACGTCGTTTTCACCAACGCCCAAACGACTAGTCATTTGGCTCGTCTTCAACCTTCAACCGGCTCCAGACCCATGGCTCCGAATGGGAAACCCAACGGTTTCACAGGCAAAATCAATGGTTCAAATCACAGAAAGCTTAGAAACTTGATTTTAACATGATTTCCGATTTTATTTTGGATTAACAACGTCAAAATTCTAATGCTCCAAAATCAAAATGTTTTCTTCAAAACCGGGCAATAATAACGGACATTAACCTTAATGTCTCAACCAAGATTTACGCATAAACAAAGTGAAACAAAGTAAACAATGCAGAGGTTAAACCAGCTCTGATTCCAAATGAAGTAATAATACCATATTCGATCTAAACATATTCACAAACATAAACAAATATATTTGAATCGATAAGCGGAAGCGAGATAGAATCATACATACCTCTAGCCATAGCTTACACGAATAGAGTCGACACTCACAACTCTCACAACAAATTTTCTGTTATAGATCTTCTAATTTTTTCTCACTCACAACCCGATGGTGCAAATAAAATGAAGAGGAACAAGCTCAGAGACCAAAACAACAAGTATCACGTCTAATTATAGTGCTCTGCCCATCACAGAGTTCAATAGACGTGAGCAGGGCATATGCGAGTTTTTCTCGCATTATGAACGTTATAAAATGTTACTGAATTCTAGTGTTGAGCTTAGACACTATATGGACCACATTCTGAAATTTATTTCCCTCGAAAACAATAAGGAATTCCAACGAGAATTGAAATTAAAACAGAGCATTAATTAATTTGGGAAATGTAATGAAAGAAATTTATTTCCCTTAAAACAACAAGAAATTCCAACGGGAATTGAAACTGAAACATAACATTAATTAATTTGGGAATCCTAATTGAAAGAATCCCAATACGATACACTTAAAAGGAAATGAATTAATATTTTGTGGCATTAATAAATTTTGAAAAATTACAATAAATACCATATATTTTATGTCATTTTTTCACTAAAAAAAATAATAACTTTTCTAATATATTCCATGTTTTGTAAGGTTTGTTGTGACAAATACATCGGTTTTGCTTTACATGGATTATTTGTACTCTACTCATAGCTAGCCTTATAGCTTGCAAATGAATTAATGTGTTTTAGACTTAAGTTTGCATGCAATATTAGCGACCATGCACGACAATGAGTGAGTTTATTATAAGATATAATAAATTATACAATATAAACACACACATGTCAGCATTGTCTGCATGCAAATTAATGATATTTGGATTTTTTTTACTGCATTAGGCCCTGGTTCAGTGCTACTACATGATATTTGAATAATGAGATACCATGTTTAGCTTGAATTATTTCAATGTGAAGCTCATCATCTCATACTGAAAAGTCTCCAAGTGTTCTTCTGGACGACCAATCACGGGGCACCACATCACCCATAAATGAGATGTATGGCAACACGCGACATCCAAACACTATATTTTCTCCTCCTTAACACGTTGTATCATAATCACTTTTCCCTGCTTCACTGTCAGCATATCTCCGATGATCGCCCCTGCCTTCAAACCATCAAATCTAAATTGGATGACATTCACTGGCTCCCCCACCCATAGTCCACCTCCGCCAACCCTGTCCTCGTCCAATTCGATACATTTGTCAAAATCCTTTAACAACCCTCTTTTTCTATCCCTTATAATTTTCACAATTTTCACAACGTTCACAAGGTTCATCTCTACCACGTTTCTAGTAGTTGAAGTGACTGTCATTAGATATTAAAATCAGCATTTTGTCAAGTAATATTCAATTTGTTAGGTGCTAACATTATTAATTTTGTTTTCTCTATATACATGTATAATTTAATATTTATTTAGCATTAATTTAATTTTGCAAAATCCGAAATAGAGAGGAGAGCGGGTGGTTGGACTTTTCTCTTCTTGATATATTCATAACTATATGTCCAAAATATAAATCTATCCATATAGCACTCAAAGATTAAATGCAATAAAAAAATCATCAATATTAACTTATAAAACAAAAACATTCTTCATACTGCAAAGATATATATTAATGCTATTTAGAAGATAAAGTGATGAGTATATACATATTTTTAAGTTGTTAAATAAATACATTAAAAAAAATAATTTTTGAATGAGAAAGTCTTAGCTTTAGTTGATGCTTAGATTCATATGATGCTTAGATCCACTAGTAGATCCAACATCGTTGAGGTTAAGGTTGGGGCGCTTCATTGGAACTAGAAGTTAGCTCGGCATCTAAATGCTCAACTACGTCAACAAACACTCTCTCGCTAGAAGTTTATGCATGACCCCACATAGCAACGACTCCACCAAGCATACGATCTAACTTTTCTTCAAGCTCAAGGTTAATACCACTAAACTTAAACTTTTTAGCAATTGAAATGACCTACAAATTAATGGATTATACATATTTAAAATGTAATTGAAGAAATAAATAATTGATAAGGGCTTCACGTTTCATAAATTCTTAACTCCAATCTCATGATCCATCATTCTTTTGAAGCGTCAATGGTTTTGCTTTATCATGTATCGAACCAAGCATGTGGATTCACACTTCAAATCTTTTCATATTTCTCAGTCATTTTTTAACTAATCCCACTTATTTTTCAATTGCATCCTATTGTATTCCCTTTCCCGTGCGCTCTCAAAACTTCTTTATTATATTTTGTCAGCTTACATTTTTAAAATAGGTTGTTGATTTATTTCATAACTCCACCTCTTTAAGACAGATATCACAAAATATTATATTGCATACTAACCCACATGACAAACAAACCAGTTTATTTTGTCTTTACTGTGACCATGCTAGTATGAAAAAGAACCAAGCCACATAAATTTATAATAAAGGAAAAACAAATTGTCATTTAAAATATCATAAGTCAAAAAGCCAGCTAAAATGAAACATCACAACAAACCACGAACATCAACATCACCACTAACAACATCACCACCAACATCAACACAAACCACCAACACACCACCACCATGACACTGAAGAACCACCCCAACATCTATATGCTCCACTAACAACACCACCACTATGACGCTAAAGAATCACCCTAACATCTACACACACCACCATCATGACACTGAAGAACTACCACTGACATCTACATACACCACCAACAACACCACCACCATAACACTGAAGAACCACCTCCAACATCTACACACACCACCAAGAGCATCACCAACAAAACCACATAGACCGACATCTCCAATAATAACTCCACCCCCAGCATCAACACACGCCACCCCCAATATCAACACACACAACCATGGTGCAACATCACCGCCAACAACACACAACACTGCGATACAAAAAAAAACATCATCAACATCACCACCAACATTGCATATCATTACTCCAACAAAGAGGGCAAACCACCAAAAAGACCAACCAATGAGTTGAGCAGCAAGACTGTTCCAATTGAACTAGCAAAATGAAGAGACGATCACCCTCTTCCATCCATCTTTAAAATTCTCACTCAAATATCAAAGGTCATGATAAAACCCAACCCATATATATATATATATATATAATCAAATTTATGCCTAAATTTTGTGGCACGTGTAAATGCATCAACTGAGGTAATTGTTTTGCAAAAAGCAATTTTTTTGTGCTTTGTATGTAATTGTTTAAAAATGAAATAGCGGGGAGAGCTCAACTAAGCAAGTCACCCTAATCATCCCATAAAATGAAATGAAATCAATGTATGAAATTGATTTGTAAATAACACACAACTATATGTAATTATCCAAAAAAAAAATTGTCTTCCCAACAACGACCAAGAAATCACAAGATAATCACACGGGCCATGATAAAAAAATCAGAAATCACAAAAAACCAAACCATGGATCGCAAGAAGCGAGACACAAATGACAAATCTTCAAACCATAAGCTAATTTCAATGCTAATAGTGTAAGGTAAAGATTACCAATAGGAGAATGCCACCATAACTGAGTATTCAGAGAGAATGAAGGAAGATACGAGGAGAATTGCCACCATAACCCGCCGAAGACAGTTGGAGGCAGAGGAGGAGGGGCTAGGGCAGAACCAAACACTGGGTTGAACCACGATAGGAATAAGAGGAGAAGAAGATAGGGCAAAGGGTAAAAAATAAATATATCACGTGAATGGAACGCGGTAAGGGGTTTAGGGTAACTAAGGTATTATCATGTGAATGAAACACATGTCACACATTATTCAAATAAGCCAAAAAGTCATCACAACATTTTTTTTTTCAAACGTAGTCTTTTGTGTTTTCCCATTTGCGTTAAATTCCATATCAAATTCAATCTAAAATAGAAATAACAAAACTGATAATTTTTTTTCAAAATTTTATAATTATTATTGTACAAGTTAAGAAAAAACTCCTACACTTCTAATGAATTTTGCATGAGTTATATATATTTAAATTTTTTTATTTTAAATACATTTGATTGTATAAATTTTAAATGATTATTAAGAAATGGAAGATTTACATATATATCACTCAATTTTTACATATTTGCACATCTAACACCTAAATATTAATTTTTAGATATATGTCAAGTTATCTATGTATAACAAAATGCATTTCACTTTTAAAAGTTAAAATAATGATGTGTTGAATGTGATATGAAAATTTTGGATGATATAAATATAAAAAGTAAACTTTAGATGTAAAAACATAAAATTTGAGTTATATGGATGTAAATGCCCTTTAGAAAATCCAACAACAACATTAATTAAGGTATTGCATAACTAATAACACAACAACAAATCATAAGTTACGAGCATTCCTACATCATTAACAATAGATTGTTGGGATCAATATCCAGCTCAAGAGGATAAGCCCAAGTTCATCCTTCGATGCCATCGACGACTGATCGAGAAACCTCAAATCCTTCAGCCTGCATTCAACACAGCCTCGACGAGCCACACTCCCTTACCTTTCAAACAATCGCCTTGTTGATCACAGTTAACAGAGTAAGTGACTCGATACACCTCGTGAGACAACTCAACTAAGCTTAAGTTAGCATCGACTCGACTCATTTGCTCGTGAAGACTTTATCATTAAAATAATAAAAAAATATTTTTAAAATAATATTTTATATTTAATATTATTATTTTTTATTTCTATCCTAATTGCTCCTTATATTAGTTATGTTATCATAATACACCTCAAATTAATATTATTTTCTCACTTTTATGATAAACAAGCCAGTTCAAACTTGTAGACTTAAGTTCGAGTTCAAGCTCGAGCTAAGGGTGCATCGAGCTCTCAACTCGTTTACACCCCTTAGTCTCAACCGCTCCTTGATTGCCGGACCTGAACACATGGATCAAATCCACCAAGTGTCGAATGTCGACGATGTGATTGATGGTTGATAGAGGAAGGAGTTTTGCCAGCATTGGCTTCGGCGGGATGATGAGCCCATTGGATTTGCGAGTGACGAAGAAGGGCATGAAGGTGTGTTTTATGAGATGTTAAGGGGCTCTTTGGTAACAAATTTAAAGCGGGATTTAACTTGGATGCAGGCTAAATATTCTCATATGATCATTTGGGACAAAATAAATTTGAGGATTTTATAAATTCAGATTTCACGAATTTCGGTCGTAAATCCCGATTTTACTAAATCAGGTGAATCGGTGGATTTACGTGATTTATGGGATTTACGAGGAAGAACTATTGAGATATGACTAAATATAGGAGGAACTTCCAAACATATTTCATTGATTTACAAGATTTCATTACCATACAGTTTTTTGGGATTTAACCCTTTTAGGATTTAGCAAATCCAGATTTACATGATTTACTAAGTCCTAATAACTTGAACCGTATTTGTTGTCAAACAACCCCTAAGAGTGAGGATGAATGATTATGGTTGATGGTAAGTGGCCTTGATGCCTAGGGTTGATGGGATGGGACTGCTGGATGAGAGATAAATATAGGTGGGAGATAAATGGGGAGCGGAGGAGGGAAGAATTATGCGAGTTGGGAGTTGACCAACAAATTTATTAGAAGGTTGGGGAATCTGCTGATCATCAGAGGACATTTATTTTGCTATTTTTTATAAGAAAATTGAATTTAATAATTTTAAAGAAACACTACAAAACTCCGTCATTGTAATGTATTAAGTGAGAATTTTTTTTAAGGAAAATGGTAAAAAATAATAGCTTTTACTTACTCTCTACAATTTCTCTATAATTATATACTTTGTGTGCAAGTTTACCCCTAAGAACAAATTAAAAAGTTTAGTGAAGGTTACTAGAGGATTGCAACTCCTGATACTAGCGTCATGGTGTCAACTCCAGAGTTCCAAGTAAATTTTTTTCTGATAGATCAATGCATAAGCACTAGGTGATCAATTTTGCAACATCAATTTAAGTGTCGAGAGTCATAGTTAAAACACCATGCCAAGCCAAGTGGATGAAATAAATCCAATGCCTCAACACAATCAAATCCAACACCACACCACTATCGGTGACCAATCTCATTGATCAAATGACAAAAGGCCAAGTTGCAGCATTAGAAACCCAGAGCCACAACACCTTCACCAAATGGCATAACCTTAGATTTGAGCATTGTAACTCGTAGCTAGAGTTGCAACGCCATAACTGCAGAGTCGTGGCATGATGACATGACATGACAATTATTGAAGGGAGGATTACTAGTATTATTATTGTTATTTTGGGATGGGGGGACAATTTAAGTTTGCACACTATTAAAGAGAAGACTGAAAAGATTGCGAAGAGGATTTGATAAATTTATTTCAATACAAATGACTGCTCATAACAAATACATAGTGTGAGAAAGTTCATTTTAAGAAAGTTTGAGTATGAGTTTGCTTTTATTGACGGAGCAAAGGCACAATTTATTAGAGAACTTTGGAGAATTATTCACTTTGTAGATTCTAATATTGTTATCTTGTTTATCTTTATTTCAACTGTTTTCATTCATTTTTATTTTTTTTATGAGACTTTAGCTTATCTATCATCATATAATTTTTTTTTGAGCAGATCTTTCTTCTAGATCATATCATATGAATGATATGAATAAGAGAAGAATTAAAAGGAAGAGATACACAACAATGAAGACAAACAAGAGAAATAACCTCAATAACTTTCGTAAAGTAAACTTCACATGATAATCTAAGAGCTTTCGTCCGAAAAATATCGGATTGAAAATGTATTGGAAATATATCAGCGACAAAGAAGCTACGCAAGCAACCCACAACTAGAGATTTAAGTATGAGTGCTTGTTCTGAGATCAAGAGCACTCCCAATAGAACATATTTCTTTGGTTAATTACATCGTAGGGGACACCCAAGAAAACTTTCGATAAAAAAAAAAAATCATGCTTGCATAATTAAATGAAATCCACTTTTTTGGCAATGGATTTAAATCATTTATGTTGGCATCACTTTTGATTTCGTTTGTGTGGAATATTCATTTGAGTACTATGACACCTTGCTTGAAACATGCGTTGATTCTCGTAGTGCAAAACATTTATTTTGGATATTCCGATGCGTGTTGATGGCATGCGCTCAGTGTTGCACTGCTAGACTTCGGAAGTAGCTTAGGTGAAAGTCGATTGACTTTTTGCTTGTCAGATGACTTCAATCGGGATATCAGTGTTGCACTGCTAAACCTCATTTCCCACGACGACTCGCGAAAATGACTTAGCCCGTCCATCGACAAATTTGTCGAGATTACCTCAAACAACGAAATGAACTCTACGAGCGCTTATGAAATGCTAATTTTGTCTAGGGTCTATACCCATATTACTTTAATTTTTTG